TTTGAGGTCAAAAATCCCTTTGTATTTCTTTTTAGGAATCCCAGCATTTTGGCTAGTTTAATAATAATTGCATCAATATGTGCTTTGAATGTTAGTTTGATGAAGTCTTGTACTTTAGATTTTTCTTATGGATGCTGTGGCTACAAGAGTGTGACAGAAGATGACAAGATTTTAACTGGTGGTAGGACCTCTTGTGAGTCCGCGCGGGTGGGTGCCACCACCCTGCCTATTTCTACCGTGAAGCAGTAATGCGTTTCGGTTTGAAGGGTGGGGCAGCCGTTGTAACTATACTTAAGACCTTAGAACTTATATCTCAAGGTGGGTGGCGCATTTACGTTGTGGATGTCTATGGGCTCCAGTAAGCACTTAACACCAGGTGGGCTGTGAGCTCGTCCACCCATCTAAGCAATAAATAAAAATAAAAAAAAGATGATGACACGCCGCTTGAAAATCCTTAATAACTGCATTTTAAAGGCAATGAACGTTCTTTTTTTGTCGTCTGTTGACATTATTGACCAAAATCTGGAGTTGCACACCACATTTTTGGAGCCATACTCAAAAACGAAAAATCTCTGGATTCGTTTATCGCCTCGGGTAAGATATCTTCACAGTGTGGAGATTGTGTAGGTGATCACCAAATCGATGGTCCTTACCTATCGAAGGAGCTAATCATACGCATATAATTCAAAATCTTCTCAATGCTTCAGACTGCAAGAATTAGCAGCGCATTACGTTGCGAGCAGTTAAGTCAAGTCAGTAAGGGACAGAATGAGAATTCGCTATGTGCGCCATGAATATAACCATTCAAACAAATGAACAAAATTCTGCTAAACTTTTCAAAAGTATCAAATTTTTTTGTCGTTCTGTTTCTATACAAAATTTGGGCGGACGAGTACCGAGCCGCGTCCGTCCGTCGAGCTGCAGCGCTTTTCTACGCCTAAAGGTAGGAAAAATCGAAACCACAGGCAGTTTCTAACAACCACTGTTATTCCAGTAAGTTAATAGACAAAAAATGTTTTTTTTTTTCAATTTATTTTTACTTAAGCCTCTACAAGAAGAAGAGTTTTGAGATTTTAGCTATTGAAGCAAAGTAAAAAAAATATTAATTCAACGAAACAAATGGTTTCGTAAGAAGCTTAAATTAATTTTATGGTGCTCCGTAAACTATTCTTGTATTATTGGTACAGTTTATATTATACACGGTAGCCGAAGCTAAAACGATATGTAGGATGGATAAGAACGGAACGTATGAAAAAAGCGTACCCGATCCTGTGGACCGAATGCTAAACAGTCGACGTCGCCCTAAACACGTCATTACGGATCCTGCCGATCCATCAACGGTGCTTTTAGGTATCTTAAGCACCGATCGCCGTCCTCGCCGGACCCGTCGCTTGCGACGAAGGGCTCGACGGGTAAATTAACCCATAGACACAGCCCACTGAGTTTCTCGGCGGTTCTTCTCAGTGGGTCGCGATCCCGATAGGGTGCTAGACTCTGCGAAGCACTGCTCTTGCTAGGGCTAGGCTAATTTTTTTTAGGTTCAGCCTGTGAGCTCACGTACCCATTCGTTCGCAGTAGCCGTTTAGACTACCAGCGAATAGGTAAATAGAAAAAAATATATATTTATCACCATCTATCTTTAGACCTTATACCAAAGTAAGAATTATGCAGGGGTAAGGGGTAGAAATAAAAATGAGAAATTATACACACCATGCATGTCCAAAGGGTAGTAAATTTTGGAACGCATTAAACGTAAAATTTGTTTTCGGCAATAGTAACGGAACATGCTGTATGTAACGACCAGATAAGTCGGGGCTGTGGTCCGGCCGGTGTTTTCATATTTTAAAGCAACTGCCGAAACAATGATCAATTTAGCATTCACAATGCCGCCGCGCTGTTCCTTCAGAATGCGGATACAACGTGGCACTAGGGTTGGGCAATGATAAATCTAGATTAGGAAAGTTTATTCTATAGTTTAGTTAGGTTCTATGAATTAAAAAAAAGGGTGTCGAATTGATTTGCAGGAGGGATCGTCTATTTGCCTTCTAAAACATTGAAAATATGTAAATGATTTCAAATTCTACACTTTTAACTTGTACGAAATATCGATACAAACTTTTTTGGATTCGATTTCATGATAATTAATCTAACGAATTTAGTCTGTGGCTATACATTTGTAGTTGGTCCATGTAGAAATAATACATTNTAAAAAAGAATGTCGAATTGATTTGCAGGAGGGATCGTCTATTTGCCTTCTAAAACATTGAAAATATGTAAATGATTTCAAATTCTACACTTTTAACTTGTACGAAATATCGATACAAACTTTTTTGGATTCGATTTCATGATAATTAATCTAACGAATTTAGTCTGTGGCTATACATTTGTAGTTGGTCCATGTAGAAATAATACATTAAAGAAAACGAGATAAGAATCAAATGGTAATAGTCGAATTAGTTAAGAGACTGCGACAGATGAACGAGCTGCTTGCCATGTGTATGCCGCCAGTTAGCTCCAGAGAGATCTCAACTTCTTCATATATCGACTGGCCTACCCTTTCGGAATGCTCGACTACTTCGCGACAGAAATAGGAAGGACGGTGGACATACCTACTCGTACTAATTACTTTTTATTTTTTTGTCGGCGCCACATCACTATTTAAACTAAAAATAGTTAAAGTTAACGGTTTGATGTTTCCTTGATTTTACGCATGTCAACAACTGTTTAAGACGGTATTCAAGAGAATTCATGACTGAGCTATCTTAAAGCTAGCCTAGTACTTTCTACTATAAGTACGAGTGACTATTGTCGCTCAAAACATCGCTCAAAGTGGACCTCTCTGATGGCGCCAACCAGCCCCTCCGTGTCATATTTAATCCATACTTTCTATTTTATATGTGGATATAATGTAAGACTTGTTAATTGGTGAATTGATAGAGTATTGCGGCAAAGAACCATAAACATTAGACGTACTATAATATAGATTAGTTTTTGAATTTACGCTTTGTTTTTTTTTGTGTGAACTGTGTAGATATGATTGAAAAAGCCCGCCAAACACTTCCTAATTTCACGGAAATAAGTACTTTTGTAGACAATGTCGTTGGATATTGCTCATTGAATTTCAAACAGGTTCTCTTTACGGTTATAATTTTCCTCCAGGCAGCCCTGCACCCAAAATATGTATATTTCACATTTACCTACACAGCATTGTTCTGGTCAAAAAAGTTTTCGTTATTTTCCATTGTGATGCTCTTTTGTTTTATGCGATACAAGCGCTTCGGCTATTCGGTCGGTACGAAAATGCTTAAGACGTGTTTGTGTAATAGGCAAACGGACAGTTTTTAATTTATTTACGGCGCTAAACTTCTACAAAACTCGGCTGAACGTAAAATGTGACGTCATTCGGGGGTAGACTCGACGAGTTCTTCGATGAATAATGACGAAACTCTCTATGCTGATTTCGGCAACGGTAATAATGGATTACTGAAAATGAATAATATTATGGACAATAGCCATATACTAAATACAACAACATCATTTTTTTTTGTTCTTAAAGGTGTTTCAAAGGTTTTATTAGGATGTTTAAAATTTGGTGTTAATTCACCAAATTTTAAAACTTTAAAACAAATACTTTTTAAAACAAATACTTTTTAATTTAAAAAATGCATTGTCTAGCTCGTGTTACTTTTTACCTATCGCTCCTATTTTACAGTTAAATCTTATGTCATTCGTTAAAAATTATGTCGTACACACGGATTCACTCGCGTTCATGAGAAAAACATTTAACTTTCGAGAATACTTTTTATACTTTTTTGTAGATGAAAAGTTCCTTGTGTCTTTTTGATCTGACCTGAGAACGGGCAATACAAAATTCATGATGATTAGATAAATAGTTAAGACGTAAAAACGTAACAAAGAAACATGTTTTCATTTTCACATTTGTAATACTAAGTGATTATTGTCATGAAATTGTATTCATTTTATGAAAAGCCTAATACCTAATAGTACTTACAAATTTTTCAATTAGGTACGAATATTTGTGTGAAGCTCTCAAACTTTTAAGAATTGTTTCTTTGCTTCGGAAATTCTACTTATTAAATTGTTTATATAAGTTGCATCATTTGTAAATCTAGTTTAATCTCTAGTAAAAGAGATTCTTCCAACCCTGACGTCATCGCCGAGGCGTGACGTCATCAACTAATGCACTACCGCCGACCTCATCAGTTGCAGGTGTTCCCGCACACAAATAATTACCGCCTGGAAAAGATGGGATGCGCCTTCTTGTTTAAGATTTACACAACGCGGGAAACATGTGTATCCATTGTCTACTGAATATACATACAAGGTTTTGTACTGCAGGTAATATGAGATTGTTGTTTCGTAACATAAGAGTAAATTTTTAAGTTGTACATACATAAATTATATTTTATATGATATTCCTCATGATAAGGAAAGTGAAACTATTAAGTTTTTGCATAAATAGCGATTGAATTATAATTTGAATTGGATTGAGATCCGATCCACTTAACTAATTTTAAGTTTCACGATATTAAGTTTTTAACTACTTATTATTGACGTCCGGTATATTAATAGTATGAAACAAAGTAAGTGGGAAACTTATAACAGAATAAAGACAAAGCTTTAACTCTTTTTATTCATTCTTATAAATTCGTAAATTACAATCTTTCTTCAAAAGAAATCGCCTACAATAAGAAAGAAAATATTGTAGAGAGGGAGAGAGAAAGAGGGAGAAAGAGAGAGAGGTAGAGAGAGAAAGAGAGAGAGATAGGGAATACTTTATTGCACATCATAACATTGAACAACATTAACACTGTAACATAACATTAATAGTAAGTGTTCTAACAAGAAATATCTAAATGGTTTTTATGTAGAGAAATTCTGAAAAAGAAAGCAGGTACTTATATCATGGTGTATTATTATTGACAATATTCAGAGTGATCTATCAGAGTAGACTAGCCTTTACAGAAGAGTGAGTCATACAATAAATTTATACCCACAATATACATAGTACAGATTGTAAGTGAATCAACAGCTTAAATAAGTATTTTCCTTAATTGCCGATACGCTGTCCTCGTCAATTAGATAAGCAATACTCTCCTCAGTTTCGTGTTGGTTGAATTCATGTATTTAACATGAATGTCGATAAGCTGCCTCACTAAATTATTTGTGTCAACATTCGTATGAACAATTAGTTCGAATATTTTCATTTGCTCCAACGCCTTCCATTCATCTCGGTGCTTGACCGCGACATTAAATAACTCGTTTAGCACATCCCTAGTTTTCTTTACCATGCTCAGTACAAAACCGATTCTGTAGGGCGGTTCATCCTTGAAGTGTTCTTTCATGTTCTGAACAGATTTAATTTTCCTCTCAGTGTCGTGTAGCGTTTGTTGTACAAGAGTTGATATTTTCTCTTTTAAGTTGACGTCTTTGTCGTCCTCGTCCGGGCTACTCCGTAGGCTTAATTTGGTGTTTAATGTTTGTGTGGCTAAGAGATATCGGCGCTGGGCTCGCTTCGTTTGAGCCTCTTCTGAAATTCGATTTCGTTGCGTATCCTGCCGTGTGTATTCAGGTTCGAGGTCTGACAGGTCTATGAAATCGATTCCCGTGATCCAGTTGAGCATATATCCCATACCTGGAGAAAAAATGGAAATTAAATATTTGCTTCTTTTTATATAGATGTTATTACTAACTGACAGCCCACCTAGTGTTATTTCTTTACCGAAGCATATCATCATCATCATCATCATCAGCAAAAAGAGATCTTGACCTTAGGTCTCCAAGATTGGGCAAAATGATCAGTCCTGTACTGTCTGTATTCAGCTTTACCTAGATTACGTTTACTTAGATTACGCTGATTAGAAATTTTTAGCCAAGCGGTAGTTTACTTTACGAGCAATATGGCCGGCGCATTGCCAATCCACTCTTGCAATCCTTTGCGAAATATCACCTTTCAAGGTTCTTCTGCGAATGCTCTTACTTCTATTTCGATTCATGGGCTTTCTTCCTTGCTCTTTGAGTGACTTTGAATCATTTGATAAGGTTCATTATGAGTGATAGCAATTTAATGCCGTATGTCATCACTGGCAACTGGAACTGGTCGAAAATGTTGGTCTTTCTGCTGTGCTGATGCTTTGTTCGGGCCCACTAGGGCACCAAGAAAACATTTTTAAATCTAAGATGAAAATAGCTTTGGATAAAAATTGTTACTCACATAACAAAACGTGTACCAGTATCTTCATATTATCATTCTAAAATTCGTAATTACAAAAATTCAATTAAATTTTAAATTGGTCACGCTCATTTAGTGTATGTGGGATCTTTATGTGTTTCAATCAGCACTTGTGAATAAGTAGGTACATAATCAAGTTTTTTTTTTATTCAGTACGTTTACCGAATCATTTGGTTATGCAGAACCCATCCATCAGCCCGCTAAGTTTCCCGTCGGATCTTCTCAACGGTTCCGATCCTTCCGTTCTCTTGCGATCCAGTAGTAGATTCATTCGCGAAGCAGCTGCTTTTGTATTGTTAGAGGGATCTTCGGAGGTGCTCGGGCAGCTGTTAGCAAATCCCACCCCTCTTGGCAGAGCCTTTGTTCGCCCACCTGTCCTGCTGAAATTGGAAAGGCCTTCGAACCATTAGTAATCCTTCCTACATCACAAAAAATGGTTACACAGACGTTCATAGACAGTCTCGTGTTGTGTTCAATCCTTCAAACCGATATAGATTGTTTTTTCGCGTCAGATATAGACAGCAAATGTAATGAAAGCATTCAGAATTAATTTTGAGAAAATTATGAGCAAAACCCATTCTTGGTAGAACTACATTTAGATTTAATGTATATGGCAATATTTATTGTATATTTTGTTTGTAGTTCGAAATAAGATATTAAATTATCAACAAAAAATTAATTGAAAATTTTAAGTTCTATTTATACAATGAGCAAAATTGTAATATGTGTTCGGCTCAGAAAACATCAAATAGACTCAGCTCGAGATTTACTTTAAAATAATGAATACGACCTGATAAAATATCAATTGCAATGCTGCATTAAAATAGCACTTTTAGTTATTTCTATTTTGAAATGCATTATATTGTAATTTATTCACGACTCTATTTAAAGGAAATGTTGGACCAAATTTTGAAAGAGCAATAGTGTTTTTTATTTACATTCCCAATTTTTTTATTTTAGTTAGCTGAAAATAAATACATAGTTGTCAAATATAAAAAAAAACTAAGCTGCCAGAGAAATATGTTACACGTCAACCTAGAAAACAAAATTTGCATTTAACGTTTGAAAATTTTTAGTTATGTTTTCGCTAAGAACAAAGTGCTTACGGTATCTAACCAAGAAAATATATTTTTACTCACAAATAAGGAAATGCGTATTTGGAATCAAAGATTTGATTCACCAAGAGAGAGTTGGTATTGTTTAACGAATTGCTTTTATTGTTGATAATCTATTCAATACCGAGTACTTAATTGCTTACCAAATATTTTTTCCTTTGTCGTATCACTCTTATCTACTCTCAAGGTACATAGAGCGCCTTGTCGTTCAGGGCAAAGTAGAAGGCACTAGACCGCGTGGAAGGTTGCCCATGCAATGGACCACCGACCACGTCATGTGGTGGTAGGACCTCTTGTGAGTCCGCACCAGTAGGCACCACCATACCACTACCCCGCCTATTTCTACCGTGAAGCAGCAATGCGTTTCGGTTTGAAGGGTGGGGCAGCCGTTGTAACTATACTGAGACCTTACAACTTATATCTCAAGGTGGGTGGCGCATTTACGTTGTAGATATCTATGGGCTTCGGTGACCACTTAACATCAGGTGGGCTGTGAGCCCGTCCACACGTCGTAGAAACAAAAAAAAAAATCGGCAGTTGTTTGCATAAGTGTACCAGGCTCACCATAAACCGGAAGAAGTGGCGATTGCACGTGAGGCCCATAATATCTGTCCACAGCAATGATACTACATGAAGACCAAATATTTACAGCCAGAAAATTTTTCCGTTTGCCAAGTAACATCTGAAGACCATGAGGCGGCAGTTGACGCGATCAAACGGCATTTCTTGAACGAGCACGTGCTGGTGATTTCAAGAAATATGAACGTGAACAACGATCGTGCCCTTGACGAATATTTAATCGGTTTATTGAAGCAGGGTTAGAATTTCATACAGTTTTATACAAATAGTAATCCGAATCCATAAATACGTTTCGTTTGTATTTAGAAATATGTGCTTATTAATAGCATCTGTGCTTTTTAAATAACACTTTCTGGCCGAATTTTCGCGCGCGTGGACTTTATAACGCTTGGCCGGAAAACCGAGCCCAGCGGTGAAGCAAAAGTTAACCTATATTATTTCCCAGTTTGAGGCTAATCAAATTGAATGTCACACATTAACGTAATGTTATGCGGTTACCAGAATTCAGACATAAATTCGGAGGAATTTAATCTAAATCTGACCGGCCGTAAATAAGAAGAAATACATATATAAAGCTTCGTGTACACAAGCTATCATCCTATCAATCGATCTTTGTATTAATATGAATGGGGAGCTGTGCCAACCCTAGTACTAATCAGCCTATTTCTGTCGCGAAGAAATAATTTGTTTTGATTAGAAAGATAAAACAGCCTTCCTTATGAATTTGAAGGTCAGGTTCTAATGTACCTACGTGGTAATTCGGCAATCTTCCTTGTGGTGCATTATTAATTCGTCGTTAACTCCTTGTCCACCTGGAGTTAAGTCAGATCCTATATATTTTTCGACGTGAATGCTACTAGATGCGCTAACCCACCATGAATTATGAGGTCGATTAGGTATATCACAAAAAAGTTTTTTTATTGCTTAGATGGGTGGACGAGCTCACAGCCCACCTGGTGTTAAGTGGTTACTGGAGCCCATAGACATCTACGACGTAAATGCGCCACCCACCTTGAGATATAAGTTCTAAGGTCTGAAGTATAGTTACAACGGCTGCCCCATCCTTCAAGCCGAAACGCATTACTGCTTCGCGGCAGAAATAGGCAGGGCGGTGGTACCTACCCGCGCGGACTCACAAGAGGTCCCACCACCAGTAAAAATAGTCCTCTGCAATAACATTATTCGTATTTCCGGGATCACAGCGCTCCCTAACACCAGTCTAGTCAGTCTACTATTGTTGCAGGGAACACATTATTCGCAAAGGATGATAATGGCTCGATTGCAGGGGTCTGCGTGAATTTTGCAAGCAGTCCCGTAGATCCGAAGAATTTAAGACATTACGCATTTTATCGCCAGGCACGTATTTTTTGAATTTTCCATTGGTAAATTCAGTGACAATAGTTATATTAATTTTTTAGGATCCAAACACGAAAGATTTCTTGTACTTCATTGCAAAACTACAAGAAACGCCAAACTTGTGGGATATATTTAAACAGCAAAAAGTGTTCGAGGTAAAAAAAAACATATAGTTATCCTCAAATGACTTAAAATACAAATATTGTAGCTGTCCGGGTAATTTTATTATTTTCAGATTAAAATGTTGACAGTTATCCCAGAATATAGAAGACAAGGGTTAGCCGTGATGCTAGCAGAAAAATCTAAAGAATTAGCTCACGATCAAGGATACAATATAGTTCGAATGGATTGCATCAACCCATACGAGTAAGCAAGATCCCGATCCCGTAGTAAATTCATTCGAAGCAGCTTCTCTTGAGTTGTTAGGTCTCCTTCGGAGGCACTCGAGCAGCTGTTAGCAAATCCCACCCCTCCTGGCTGAGCTTTTACTCGCCCACCGGTCCTGGTGAAACTGAAAACGCCTCCGGGCCACTAGTAATCCTTCAAACATAAAAAAACCGAGTTTGCAGCGAATCCTATGCTAATGTAAAATTGTTGTGAAAGAAATGGACGACTTTTGTTACCGTAATTTCGAATCCTCCGGATCCACTATTGGTGCTTTTAGGCATTCCAAGTACCGTCGATCGTTCTCATCGAGCCCGTCGAATGTGACGAGCTCGGCGAGTAAATTAACCCACAGACACAGCCCACTGAGTTTCTCGCCGGATCTTCTCAATGGGTCGCGATTCCGATCCGAGGTAGTTTCAGCGAAGCACTGGCCTTGGTAGGGCTAGTGTTAGCAAATTCGCCAAGCTGAGCCCCGTGAGCTCGCCTACACGCTCGGTGAAGCTGATATAACCCCTTTGAATTATCAGTATAGATAGAGAAAAAAGTTTTGTTAGTTTCGCTTTTTATCTAAACTAGCAAACCCGGCCCGATTTGCTGGTCGATCTTCGGTTTGACTTTGATCCGAATGCTACCAAATTTCACGGGATCACCCGCTAGGCCAATGCGGAGCTTTCTTGAAAATGGCATCGAAATCGGTCTAGCCGCCTCGGGAGTCTATAAGGAAATCACAATATTCTATCGGCTAAGTTTGACAGCAACAAAACCTTTTGTAAATGCTTAGTTGTATGATATAATTTGGTTCGGATTATTTTAAAATTCCAGTTACAAAATAGCTGAAAGGTGCATGCTGCAGTTCATGGTGAAGTTTCCCCTTCACAAATTACGTGGAGCCAACGCTCCGTTCATCAAGAGATCATCGGAACACAACCGCTACGTAAGGGTGTACACCAGCGTGGGCACAAACGCCGACGTCGACAGAGACACGTTCAAACAGAAACAGATAGATCTTGAAAACCTTATTGAGTGATATTTACTTTTGCTGTGCCGTTTTTTGTCATTTAAAATGCAATATAACAGTTTCAACTTTTTATAGGTTATTACCAACCTTATTTTTATTGCTTAAACTAGCGACGCGCCCTCGCTTCGCTTCGGAAATATTAAATTTTATTATTGAGTCCCGCGATGTTACCCGCGGTTATTGTCGTACTACGGGTAACGCTGCGGCGCGAAGCTAGTCTAAAAAGTAGCCTAAGTTACTCCTTATATCATCAGCTACCTATCAGTGGAAGTCTCGTCAAAATCGGTCCAGCCGTTCCAGAGATTAGCCGGAACAACCGACAGACAGACAAAAATTTTAAAAAATGTTATTTTGGTGTATGAACCGTATATAATATTCCTATGCATGTAGTAAAAAGCGGTTATTTCAATATTACAAACAGACACTCCAATTTTATTTATATGTATGCTCACGGCCCACCTGATGTTAAGTTAACAGAGCCCATAGACATTTACAACATAAAGGCCGCCACCCATCTTAAGACAAGAGTTTTAAGGTATTAGTTTTAACAGTACAATTTTCATAAATCTTTACCATTCATTCATTTCTTGACCTTTTATGTTAATGGTTATAAATAAGTCGTTTGAGGTTTGAGTTATTACTTATTATATTTAAATAGTATCTAATGTAACTTAATTGGATCTTTCGCTTGAGACATTATGAATTGGAACAGCACTAACACATTAACCACAATTTATTGATCATTAAATTAGAAGGCAACATCTAACAGACATAACATATTAATGTTACATTGATGTTTTTAAGTAGAAGCCTATTGAACAAATAGCATAGCGAAGATTATTTACTTTGCGTCACGTGAAAACTTTTTTTACGTATGTACATATTTACATACAAAAAATCCGCGGTGGTTTGGTTGGAAATCACCTTTTTATTTATTGCATAGATGGGTGGACGAGGTCACAGCCCACCTGGTGTTAAGTGGTCATCGGATCCCATAGACATCTACAACGTAAATACCGCCTTACCTTACGTAAATACCGGTACCTTGAGATATGAGTTCTAAGGTCTCAGTATAGTTCCAACGGCTACCCCACCCTTCAAACCGAAGAGCATTACTCCTTCATTTCAGAAATAGGCAGTGTATAATCTATTGACGCAGCTATACAGCTATTTGGTGGGCTGATATATGCAGTAGGGCTGACAATTGCTGGGGTAGATGGGTTGTCGAATGGAGACCGCTCAGTGGTAAACGTTACGTGGAACGCCCTCTGGTTAGGTAACGCGATAACCTTCGAAGGGTAGCCAGCAAGAGATGGATGGGGAGAACCGAAGACCGAGCTCAGTGGTGTCAATTAGGAGAAGTTTATGTCCAGCAGTGGGCGGCTGTGGGCTGATGATGCTGATGACGTGTAAAACTGTGATTTGTGAGGAAAATATCCATGTTTTTTGTCATGTTTAAAACGAATTCCAAAAGTGATGTAAAAACATTATAATAACTAGCGACCCGCCCTCGCCTCGCTTCGGAAACATTAAAACACACATGAAACCAAAAAAATAAAATAATTCATTTTTTTAAAAAAGTAGCCTATGTTCATCAGGGACAATGTCGGCTTCTAATGGAAAAAGAATTTTTCAAATCGGTCCAGTAGTTTCGGAGCCTATTCGAAACAAACAAACAAACAAATCTTTCCTCTTTATAATATTATATAGTATAGATATACACTCCTTAAATCTTGTCCGCTACAGATAATGACATTACTACAATGATCTTCAGTGAGATTCTCCAAATGTTTCAATGAACAAAGCCATCGCGTGGATAAACATAGTGTATAATAAAAGTTTTAACACCAATAAAATTTATTCCTTTATTCATCAGGTTCTTAACAAGATAAGCAGAGTATTTAATTGAGGGCGCGTCATCGCGTGAACTCTTAGAGCATAAATAAAAAATTAACTAGAAAGATAAGGTTTAATTATGTTTTTGATCATCCATTCTTCTGTGAAACGTAGATGGTCGCCGGGCGTTGATAAGAAAATTAATTTTCCCGCTTTATCCATTTTCTTGAGGCCGAGTCGATCCTGTCGTGACATATAATGAATTGTATTTTCTTTTAAAAAAACATCTTGGTAGTTTCTAAATTTTTTTATTCAACTATTTTTTAACGAGTATTATTTTATGGATATGATTGAGTCCACGGCCCATTGTGTTTCAAATATATTCCTGGGAGCCCAAACGTACCCTTGTAGATTCCGTTTGGGCCTCCTCCCTTTGCAACATGAGAAAGGACTTAATCGAATTTTATTAATGGCTGTCGTGATCTTCATTACAAATCTCCATCTAAGCTGTCAGGACTATTTATGTATTTGATATCTAGTAATTATTTATATATAATCATAAAAGAATCACAAACGGTTCCCTGACCCCAAGCCAAGATTCTTTATATTACAGAGAGTGATATGTATGCCTCAAACCAAGATTCTCTATATTACGGGTACCAGAGAGTGATATATATTTATATATTAAAAACATCGGCAAACAGTCGAGTCATATTATGTATAAATTATAAATATTATGCTTAATGAACACTTTTGATAACCTTTCAGCTTCGGGCGGATTTAAATGTCCAACACATACGTGAATTATATGAATTTGGTTTTTTAGTGTCTTTAAAACTGACCTGATATTGATATACAAAGTTCGTATTGAGGAATGAATCTCTATCCATTTTGTAATTGAAATTAAAAAATTATAGTTATATTAGAATAATTGCCATAATTGTACCAATGATTGGCGGCAGAAATAGGATCTATGTTAGCAGACCATAGAGAATTCTATGAGCCTCCAGAAACTAAGCAATCTCTATGATTTTATTATACGATGTTGTTCTTGTATTTTTTTTAACGGGTTTTATAACAGTTTTATCTGACGTCTCTGAAAATACAAACAATAATATATATTTTAATTTTAACATAAACATATCTACGCTTTTCGCAGCCGAATTCGAGAATGGGGGTAATCAAAGAAAATTAAACTATACATACCTGCAAATAAATCTTAGATTCCCTTAACGATACCAATTTCTCGGCCTGTCCCGGAGCGTAAAAACCGAACCATTCCGTCTCCTTCGGCTGCACTATGCTATCATTATCGAACATCACCAGCACGAATCTTTCTAGATTATTCAAGTTCTGTATATACGTCTTGTTGACGGTCCTCACGTTGTTGATGTCCGCTAGAAATACGCTGTTTGCCTCATATGTCCGCTCGTCTAAAGGATCGTGCCAATATGTCGCTTGAACCAGTGAATTTTGTACCCAGCTAAAATGTCATAAGAGAGTCCTTATTTGACAGATCATAACACAAGTATATACCAAAGAGGTTAGCCTAACTGATTAGACTGAAATCGATTTTTATCGATTACTAGCTGACCCGGCAGACTTCGTAGTGCCTCAACCGATAAATAAAAGACCTAAACTTTTGTATAAAATAAACTTAAAACAAACAAAAGGAATCCGTCCGACGGGGGATACATCAAAGGAAAAACAATATTGCTATTTTTATTTAATTCCGAGAATTTTCATATTTATCTACCTTTAAAAACTTCTCTGGACTTCCACAAATAATTCAAGACCAAAATTAGCCAAATCGGTTCTCGAGCCGTTCTCGAGTTTTAGCGAGACTAACGAACAGCAATTCATTTTTATATATATAGATGGGATACCAGTAGATTCGAGCTTAATCGTCGTAATCATTATTCCCATCGCAGTTGCTTTTTTTAACGTAGGAGACCAAGTTTCGTACAAACGTTTCTTAAGTGACTTCGATTTTATCTTATAAAGGATTTTTTGGAGACTCTTTCTCGGACGCTTTTTCATATGCAAAGTACCTAAATACGTTTTTTAAGTGTCTTAGACATATTTAGAGCTGTTGTTTGCACACACACACAGTCATAAAATTAGAATTCATGACATACGATGACATGTTTAGTTTTGATGTGCGTTTGCCAACTTATAAATAGCCCTATTGTTTGTATTGTCTTGTTGTTATTCTATGGGTGAGGATAGGTATAAGGAAAGGACACTTTAAAATTTACAATAAGATTTACTTTGTCTCGTTGTCTTTTCAAAGAACGACAAATATATATTATAATGTATTACAATGACTGCTGTTGACATATTTTGTAAAAAATATATTTTATTTACTCTTAATTGGACATAACAGAGGTATCGGTCCCGCCTATTTCTGCGAAGCAGTCTTGTGTTCCGAAGAGGAATGACAATCGCTCTAATACAATTAATGCCGAACCTCATTTCTCAAGGTGGGTTAAGGCACTCAAACTGCGATGTCCATAGAGCTGGAAACTCTCCTCAAACCTCATTTAAAGCGCAACATGTCATAAAGCCCTAGAAACACCGCAGAAGGGAGGGGAGGGAATCCAAATGGTACGTGACAAAAATATCTCTGGAAACACACGAATAGACGCAGGGGTTCCAGATAGTATGGATTAACTCTGCTGCGACGTCGGACGGTGTGATGATAAGAAGATCATCTCAAACAATTTCTCAGAGATTTTCTCTTTAGTATTTCATTCGATTATTGCTGTGACTATCACTTATTGTATGAAAAACGTAAATTACTTAAATCTTGTCGCAGGCAACCTGTCATACCATGATCGAACTTTATGAATAGCACAAGTGCTATTCCGATTTTAAAGCTTTTAAATTGTAAAGTTTCATCAAAATCCAGTCCATTAGTTTTTGCTTGAAAGAATAAAAAAAATCAATTCAATCCCACAAGCTTTCCCATTTCGATCTGATTGAATCCAATTCAAACCTGTTATATGCAGCGTAATTGAGTAGCTTCCTCACATCATCACATGTTTCGTGTCTCAAGGCACCACAATGAGGTATGCCATAGATGCCTTGGTGCTGACCTCCGAGAGACACCATGTTTTTAATTTGTGGTAGTTTATGACCACATCTTTGTACTACAGCTCGACTAAAAACAAAAACATTTCGAATTTATTAGTTACTGAACAGTTTTCAGTTGTACTAGAGCTTTCAATGCTTTTCTGTTTTAAGTAAGGCTTTGGTAAAATCATTGTAAATTTAAATTTTATTTGTAAGAGTTCACAGAGGTGCGTATATATGTAATTTTATGAGCTGATGATAATGTTTATTTTATGAGCTATTGATAGTTGTTTGGTTGACAAATATAAAATATAGAAGACAAATAGTCTTGTTCATATATATATTGTATGTTAATACATCTGTACGTATAACAACTAAATCAATCATAATCTGTTTGCATGATTGTCTGCACAATGGAACAATCATTTTTATCCTATATCACAAAATGAAATCAGTTAACAAGTAGATGTATACATAGACAAGTGGTTAATTACATATGAACAAAAGAGGCCATGTTATTTGGGATGTTAGAAATATCTTTGTTAGCAATATTTATTGTTCAGGTTCTGGGAATGACTTGTTACTGTCGAGTATGTGTGTTGCCGGTACCCGTCACACAGAAAAACCTATATTGGGTTTGGGGAATATTAATTTCATAATCAATGCATAAATAAGTGCAGAAACATGACATAGTATCAGCTTTCTCTTCCGGTTTATTGATTAATTTTCAGATTGCAGATATACCTCTTATTCACCTTGTTTACAAATTGTTTTCAACTTTCACTTTTTTTTTCCTACCTAAGCCGATAGCCTTGAGAGGCTATTTCAGTGGAACCTTAACTAGTAGGTGAGCTCATGGAGCTCAAACCTGACGACGTTGCTAACACTGGCCCTAGCAAGAGCAGTCCTTTGCAAAATCTACCACCGGATCGGAAACGCGACCCACTGAGAAGATCCGGCGAGAAACTCAGCGGGCTGTGTCTGAGGGGCTTTCACTACTGACTACAGTACACATCAGGAACTCATTAAATGTGAAAAACATAGTATGAACCAGTTAAATAATGATGTTGTTAAATATTTGTATATTTTTTTATGTATCACTCACATAAACTGACATCCCTGTGAGAAACCCATGACATTGAATCCGTTTGATAGTTTTGGATCGGCCGCTAACTTCTCACATACATATTCAACTTGGAGATTCGGGTTCATGAAATATCCATTTTCAAAATCTTCAACAGTATTATTGCCAATTTGGAGAGACAGAACATAAACACCAGGTATGTTCTTCTCTAGGAATATTTTGAAGGAACCAAGACTAAAGGACATGCAGCATGTGTCACCTAAACAGATAATTAAAGAAATACATTATATTTTTCTTTTTTTTCTTTTTCTCAAACTTATTCTTATTAACAAGCAAAATAAGAGGTTCATTATAAAACTTTGAACTCGTTAACCTACTTTCGTTGCTACCCTAAACATACTTGGCATTACTACTTGATTCTTAAATTTTTCCAATGTTATATCATATTATATTTTAATTGAATTTAAAACGTTTTTAATACATACCCATGCCGTGCCACAAGACGATGGGTGTAGGCGTTGCGCTTATTAATTTTATTATTAACAATGGAATTAACCACAACCTCATTTTGTTTCGTTTTTGTAATTTATGTATTAAATTGTACACTAGTGTAACTTGTTTAAGGAGAACACTATCGCAGCCGGTGAAGAAAAGGAACGTCTAATCTGATTTGACATTTGACCAGCAGTTATTTATAAACTTTGTTCTGTCGATAAGCTTGGAAGTTGTAAACAAACAAAAATAAACTTTAAATCAAATACAGCTGTCAACTGTCAAAATTTAACAGCAAGCTGTCACCAATTCTAGTTCGTATGGGCTAGATTTCTTTTGCCTATACAGATGAATGAATTCAATCGAGATATATATATATATATATGTGTGGTTTTGGCTTAACGATATTGAAAAATCTTAGCGATGCTATGTGAATTAATTTATTTTGCCAATTTAAATTTCTCTTTTTCGATTTAAAGGCATAATATGTGTTTTCTGTAATGTAATAAGAAAAAAAAAATTAAATCCCTCGATCTCTTTTAAGATTAATATTAAAAATTTAACAGTAAACAGTATTAATAAACTCTACAATACTGAACTCCCCTTTTATTCAATAACAGACTTTACTCCATGACATTGAATGATACTAAAGAAAAATCCTTTTAAAAAACTAAAGAGTTTTAATTAATAAAGGTTTTCCTTTATATGTACATATATGAACACAATTCGAAATTTGATTTCGCTGTAACATTTTTTTATTTTTTATTGTTCAGATGGCTGGACGAGCTTACAGCCCACCCGGTGTTAAGTGGTTACTGGAGCCCATAGACATCTACAACGTAAATGCGCCACCCACCTTGAGATAAGTTCTAAAGTCTCAAGTATGGTTAAATGTCTTTTTTCAAACGAGGCTTGTGGAGAGTATAATATAATGGTAGGCAGTGGCTTGTCGCTGCCCACGGCATTACTGACGTCCGTGAGCGATGTTAACCACTCACCATCAGATTGGCCGTATGCTCGTCTGCAAACAGCTTACATTTTTTATTAGACAGATTTATTATTTCAATATTTTGTATTCTGTCAAATTGGTTAAAATCTGTCACATTTCGTAAAATCACATTTAGCTTGTAAACCTGATGAAAGATCGAAAATAATTATTAGAATGACTAAAAAAGGTAGTCACAAAAACCTAGTCTTTTGGGAGGACATGAAGAGACGTGCCATGCTAATTGCTAATTTAGTGTAACTTAAGGTATTAACATGTAATAATGAAGCCTTTTAAACACGTAGTCTTTAAATAGGCGAAAGAAAATAAATATTGGGGAATGGACCAAAAAATCTATTTAAGCCTCATTAAACTTTCAGCATTTGAACGAGAGTTTATTTAATTTAATTGAATTTTAAATAATTATTTCTTGCCCTAGGACATATTATGTGGAGTCGGGAAACCTAGCATGTGCTCAGGTGCAGGGGTTTAGTATTATTAGTCCTATTAGTTCTATGATTTGCCCTTAATTATTTTAAACATTTATACTAAAATTTAGAATTCCGAAAACCAAAAGATAAAAATATCATTTTATTTCGTAATTGTGTATTTTCATAATATTTTTTTTTACTGTCTGTTACTTCTTATCTCAAACATTTACTGAAAGGCTGCTTCTTTTGTTTTTTTTTCTTGAACTAAAAATATGACTTCAGCATTACAGTTTTTTTTGTTTTTGTTTATTGCCCTTGTAGGCAGACGAACATAGGGTCCACCTGATGATGAGTGTTTACCGTCACTCATGGGCTTCAGCAATGCTAGGGGCAGAGCCAGGCCGCTGCCTACCGCATTAAAACAATTGGCTGTATGGGACAAGTTACTTTTGCCTGTCCAAGTCAACAAATGACTGCTCTTTCTATAGTTTTTGCGGCTATAGGCTATATGCCTTTTGAGTCAGCTTTTGTCAGATAACCAACCTTTACTAAAAGAAACGTTCTCCATTAAATAGCGGGAATTTATTGTGAATTCAATGGATTTTTTAGAAGAACCCAAGAAGAATTATTCTCTGTTTTGTTCTAATTCTACTCTAATTTTTATGCTGTTTCACAAACTAAGCTGTCAATATACAATTTTTTAAAAGCTAAAATCTTAAAAGAAGTTAAATGTAATATTAATGTCGTACCTCAAAGTTGGTGGGTGCAGCTGCGTTTTTTCGGGTCGAATTCTCTATTGTTCGCGACAGAAATAGACAGTCTGATGGATTTGCACGTCCAGTGTCACTATTGTGAACGAAGTAAATTTTGTTTATTGCATTTCCCACGGAATAGATAAATAACCTTATTTATCTATTCCGTGGCATTTCCCTTCCCTTTAATTTTCCATCTAACTTTTGAAATTCTAAATCGTACTCAATTATCTCAGATGTACAGAAAAACATATGTACGGCCGCTGTGAGTGCNCAGTCTGATGGATTTGCACGTCCAGTGTCACTATTGTGAACGAAGTAAATTTTGTTTATTGCATTTCCCACGGAATAGATAAATAACCTTATTTATCTATTCCGTGGCATTTCCCTTCCCTTTAATTTTCCATCTAACTTTTGAAATTCTAAATCGTACTCAATTATCTCAGATGTACAGAAAAACATATGTACGGCCGCTGTGAGTGCATGGGCACTCGGATTGCACCGGAAAAGATAGTTGCCCGCAACGAGATAATCGCAGAATTCAGCATCCCGCCTAAACGATTTTTCAATTTACTTACATTAGCAGCATGACGATGATGATTGATGGATGCGTGGATTTTCAAATAATTATAATAGCAATAAAACAATACATTAAATTAAAGTAAAACAATATAGTGTAGTGAAGTTTGATTTTAAGAGTAAATGTTATTTTGTGACAGTTAATAGCAATTGATTTTTTACATAAGAACTTCGTACCTACTTATTAATATCATAATAGGCAAATAGGGTTTCAAAGCTACAAAGACACGTTTAAATAAAACTGAAATGTTAAAAATTAAAATGTTTTTTTTTGAAATGATGTGATCTACAATATTAAACGAAATTAATTTAAATTATTATATAACTATCGGTTCTTGATACGTGGGAAAATTTTCAAGTTAAGGTAAATTATTCTATCAAAAATTTCATCTTATCTAAAGATAAAGATAATATCTAGTTCGTTCTTAGGAATATCATTTGAACAACTGATGAGCGCTTTTTACTGGATTAGCGGTTACTTATTGTGTAACAAAAAAGATTTACTGATGATAGAACGACTTGTGGGTCCACACGAGTAGTTACCACTAGCCTGCCTATTTCTGCCGTGAAGCAGTAATGCGTTTCGGTATGAAGTACGGGGCAGCCGTTGTACTGTTAAAAGTGAGACCTTACAACACGTGTCTCAAGGTGTGTGTTACGTTGTAGATAACTATGGGCTCCGGTAACCACTTAGCATCAGGTAGGCCGTCTGCTCATCCACCAATCTAAGCAATAAAATAAAAAAAGTTATCCGAAATACTCAGGGGATAAAAGGAACTTTCTATTATTTATTTATTGCATCAGTGGCATATGAGCCACTGGTAAATTATAGAAGTTAACAGGAACAACGTAAGCTATTCCTGAGAGCATTTCCAAACGTACCAAAAAATATAAAACTATAACAATATATTTTCAAACATCCAAATTTCTTAACAGAGTAAGAATATGAATTTCTAAATTTAAACCTCTATCTATGGCTCCTCTTAATTCCATTAATTAAGTACTTTTTTTTTTTTTTAATTTATTGAAAGCATTGGCAACACGGCCATCAGCTTAAGCTAATTTTACAAAAAAATAGAACATGAACTAGAACTTACAATAAAAACACAAATAAAAGAAACAAACGAAACCAAGAAACAATTACAAATGATTGAAAACAACAAATTAATGACAAAATGAATTGCAAGAACTTACTATAAAAAAATACAAGTTTTCTTTCAACAAACAACAAAAAAGAACATGAGTCGTTATAAAAAAATAATTAAACTTGCACATAAGCAGGAGACCTATGATACATTCATGAATTATACATTCATAGTCGTCCTNGATGAGGTCAATCTTCGTTTTCCCATTATTTTGGGAGCGGACACAGGGGCGGAGCTGAAGCCCTCACCCCTGTCGTCATCGTCCATTAATACGGAACACACTTATGGAATATAATTTTAAACTCTAACACAGTGAAAAATTAAGAAACAATGTCGTAAAAAAGGGCTAAAACCAAATAAATTAAAATTAACTTGAAAAAAGCGCCTATTAATTTTGACGTTCCCGCCCTTTTTTTTCTTAATTAAGTACTATATGAGCATAGATTATACACATAATATTTGAGATGTTTATGAGTTTATTTCCAATGACATCGACAATGTAGACAGACGTATTACAACATTATGGACGAATATTTACGTATTCAAATTCATTTGATGTTCTCTTTCATTGAATTCGTTTCACACGATGTGTTTTTGCGGACCGATCCGTGAGATTAACCAATTAGTGCACTCTTATTGTAGATCTCAATCGTTTTCGTGTGAAATTCACTCCGCTGGGCTAAATGTTGATTTATCTGATGCCTACATTGACAACCATTTTAAATAAATGGAAGCTACTGAGGGAGATATGGAGGAAAACCCTTTGATTAATTGTTTCTGGTGAGCAAACCATATAGACATAATAACGTGAATGCCTCAGCTATGCCGAGCATCGTGTTTTAATAGCAGCACGTGATAACTAATCGGGCACAATTTATATCGCCAGATTTCAATTGTTATTATATACACAATGTTATTCCTTCATTGTTTCTGTGCACGTGTTACGTACGTATTTTCTAAGATAAAATTGTAAACTTCGGACGATTCGAATCCTCCTGACACAGTAGCACACTTAACACAAAAAACACTATGAATCTTAACTACTACATTTATTACTGAATGACATTCGTAATGTTATGTAATGTTCTAAATGTAACCAAAATAATTAATACTCGTAGTAGCTCCGTTGACATACCTATGTTAAGAATCCTTACGCCCGTTTCACTTGACTGTTTTTGATTTGACATGTAAATGGAACGTGGGAGATTATAAAAATAAAAACATGAGATTAAGCTGTATAGTTTTAATTACTTGTGACTTGTTATTACCGTAAAATAAAGTCATCTTAAACTAAAATGTTTCAATTCATTTTCTTCGCACGCCCTCTTTGCTAGTATTCCTAATATGTTTTT